AGAAATAAGCTTTGAAGTATGTGATTCCTACTCTAGATATGGTGGAAGTAAACAAGAGGAGTAGGGTCAGAGAATCTTTCTCCTTCTTGCTATTAAACATCCCTCCACCTACCCAACCCCTGCCCTCTGTCATGGCTACGGCCCCCTCCATGCTGATGGCTGCCAGGTTCATATCTCCAGCCTCCTCTGCTGTCTGCCCTTCCATTCTCATGTGTTCTAACCCCCTACTGGAGCTCTGATCCTATCTGAATGTCCATGAATGCACCGTATACTGCATGTAGACAATAGAACTCATTTTCTCAAACTTTCTTCTATATGTCCCATCCCTGTAAGTGGTATGGATCACTGGAAACTCCAAGTTCACTCACTTCTTCCCTCTCTCTTACCCTAACACTTGTCTGTCTCCTGCCTTGTGATGATGGTATCTCTTAAATATTTCCCAGATCTTTCCACCACTGCCTTAAAATGGGGCCTTGCCATCCTTTGTCTGGAATGCTGCAAGAGCCCCAGAATTTGTCTCCTCATCTGTCATGGACCCCAGGTCTTATCCTCCTTTATATCTCTCATCTAGAACCCAGGTCTATCTTTGCCAGCCATGGAACCTTAACAAAGTCACTACATTCTCAGACTCAGTGTCCTCATTTGTCAAATAGAGATGATTGTACCTTCCTCATGAGGTTGTCAGATTACATGAAGCAATAATAAGGCACATGTAATGTGCTTATCAGGGTGCCCAGCACACAGAAGATGCTCAATAAATAGTAGATGTCATTACTTTTAGAGCCTGAGGTTTATCCTTGTGCCATCCACCTTACAAGTAAAATTTACAAATCCTGTTTCACATCTTGTTACTTGTTTAGGCACCTTGTCATTTATAGATAAAATTCTAAACTCAAGAGAACCAGGACTGCATCCAGGACTTTTGTGGTCTCTAGGCACTTTGGCTTTCATGGGTTTCTTCCACTATAAAAAATATATTAAAAACTATATTTTATGACTGTATTGTTATTATTTTAAAATGAATTTAAACATTTTCTGGGCCTTTCAAAATATTGGGGACCCTAGGTGCTGTGTCTACTGTGACAAATACAAATCCTCTCTGAAAGGAACATGTTCTCTCTCTCTCTCTCTCTCTCTCTCTCTCTCTCTCTCTCTCTCTTTGTCTCACTTTTTCTCCCCCTCTCCCTCCTCCCACCCTCCCTCTTCCTCCTTCCTTATTTTTGCTTATTTTCTTTTGTGTGTGTGCATGTCATTAATTTTTGCTTTTTTGTTATGTATTGCTTTTTGGGGGGAGGGGAGGGGTTCCTCTCTTCTTTTTCTGACTCCTTGGGTTAGATGCTTACCTTATTAATTATCAGTCTTTCCCTACCCCCCCACCAATATATGCATTAATATAGTTCCTTCCAAGTATTGTTTTAGCACTATCCTAAATAGTCTGTCAGTTTCATGTATCTTCTAATGGCACTATGATTAATTATTTGACCCTGATTGTTTTAGAAGTCTTTTTTAAATTGCCAAAATGTATGAGTTCCTTGTGGTATTTTTATTATTGGTTTCTTTTTTTATTGCTTTATATTCAGAGATTATCTTTAAGAGAGGTTGAGACTTGTTTGTAGTCTGTCAATTGTTCAAATATTCCATTTACCCTTGTAGTGAACATGTACTTATTAGAAAGTCAGGTGCAGGGTCCATTAGATCAAATTTGTTAATTTTGTTGTGCAGTTCTATATTTTTTCTAAATTTTTGTCCTTCTCATCTGTTGAATATGGATAAATGTATTAATATTCCCCACTAAGATTGTTCATTCATTGATTTTTCCTTGTAATGTGGCCAGTTTTTGCTGTACGTAATTTGAAGCTGTGTTGCTAAGTGCATGGTAGTTTATAATTCTTTATAGTTTCCTGGTTTATTCTTGCTTTGCAATTATGTAATGACTTTATATATCCTATAAGGCTGTTTGCCCCGAATTCTGTTTTATCTGATATTAATAGAGCCATGCCAGGTTTCTTTTTGATTAGTATTTGGCTGGCATATATTTTTTTCTACCCATTTCCATTCTGTTTTTTTGTTGTTGCTGTTGTTGCTGTTTTTATTCATTGTATTAGTTTCAGTAACAATTTTCCACAATCTTGATGGTTTAAAACAACAGAAATGTATTGTCTCACAGCTCTGGGGGCTAGGGATCCAAAATCAAGGTGTTGGCTGGGCCATGTTCCTTCCGAACGCTCTCGGGAAGAATCCTCCCTTGCCTCTTTTTGGCCTCTGGGAGTTGCTGGCAGACCTTGGCATTGCTTGGCTTGTAGCTGTATCCTCCAATATCTAGCTCTGTCATCAAATGGCATTCTTCCTTCTGTGTGTCTCTCTCTGTCTATGTCCAAATTTATCTCTTCTTATAAGGACACTTGTCATCTTAATTTGATTATATATTGAAATAGGTTCCAAAAATGGGTTTTGGGTAGACAGGGGGAACTTGTGCCTTCATAATTAAAAATTATGAAACATTTAAGGCATAAAAGGTTCCACATCCTGTGTATGTTTCAGCTCTAATATGTTTGAGCCTTTAGTTAACGATCAATCCATCCTTAACCCCATTCTAGCAGATACAGTCTGAACTCTGATTTTAACTTACCTCTGGGAGTTTCCCTTTCTTTCTTGCAAGCTCAGCTGTGTATTTAAAATATTTTAAAAGCTTTGTATTCAGCATTTCTAGGTGCTTTACTAGAAAGCTTTTATGTTAGTTTACCCTTCCATCTTGCTGGAACAGGAATTGTCTATCACAAGTAGGTTTTAAAAATAGCTTTATTGAGATACTTTTCACATACCATATCATTCACCTGCTTAAAGTGTATGATTTAGTGGTTTTTAGTATATTTACAAAGTTGAGTAAATATCACCACAGTCTAACTTGAGAACATTTCCATCACCCAAAAGGATACCCCTTACATGTAGCAGTCATTCACCATTTCTTCCCCAAACCCCTCAGCCCTAAGCAGATACTAATCTACTTTGTATCTCTAGAGATTTGCATATTCTATACATTTCATGTAAATATTATAGAATCATACAATTTGTGGTCTTTGCTGACTAGCTTTGTTTACTTGGCATAATGTTTTTAAGGTTCACCCATGTTATAGTGTATACTTCATTCTTTTTTATTGCCAAATAATAACCCATTGTATGGTTAGAACATATTTTGTTTATCCATTCATCAGTTAATGGACATTTAGCTAATATGAATTATGCTCCTAGGAACACTTGTTTATGAGTTTTTGTGTAGCAATATCTTTTTATTTCTCTTGGGTATATACCTAAGAATGCACTTGCTGGGTCATATGGTAACTATGTTTAGTATTTTGAAGAACTGCCAAACTATTTTCCAAAGTAGTCTCACGATTCTCTATTCCCCCAGTAATGCTCTTTCACAGGTGTTTTTGAAACCCAGCACAGGTGATTGTACTTAACATGGGAAGAGTTCTTGTAGATTTTTGAGTGTGGTGAAGGTGATATTGTTGGAATGTTTGTTGCACATTGATGTGGAACTAGGGATTAAAGACCAGGAAGCAGGTAGCAAGGGCAGGAGTAATCTAATTCTCAGTTGATGTTGCCTCTGTTTGGATGGTGGCAGGCAGAAAAGATGTCAGGATTCCTGAAAACCATGGTGGATAGTGAAAGTGATTGTCAGGCAGAAAAATGATGTTCACCTGAGACCGACTCTGAGCTGCTTACTCAGACTTTGCTTTCTGATCTTGATATCACAGAAAATAAATTTCTGTTTTCAGAGAAGTGGGAAAGGGAATGAATACAAGTCTTGTCATTATGTGATGGAGAACCTCCTGTGACTGGAGTAGATCTGGGGGCCTTCGAGTTGCCAGGGGATGTGATGCTTTCCTGGGAATTCACATCCTTCTAGGCTCTGTGGGATGTCCACTGTTAAAGCCGAGGGAGCTGTTTACAGCCTTAGTCCATGTTCTTCCTGTCAGTTAGACTTCTGTGGATAAATTCCCGTGTGTGTGTGTGTGTGTGTGTGTGTGTGTGTGTGTGTGTGTGT